TGACATCACCTCCTCTGCTGCTGGCAGTGTTTTAGGCATCCCTGGGGCTCCAGGCAGCCTTCCACCGCCCTGGACTTCCTTGGGGCAGCATTCCAGAGTTCTGTCCCTTTTCAGGGCACCTCTGATGCTTGGATCTGCCGCCGGTGGGTGAGCTGATTTCCAAGTCAGCTGACACAACCGCCACCACAATCGCAGCTCCACATTTGTTGGGCGGCTCTTGAGTCACTGCACGGGGATCTGGGGCAAACTCCGAAGACCAGGTGAAGCTTTGTGGTGCTTGGAGGGCTTGAAATAGCTTTCGTGCCATTTTTTTGTTTGCAAATGGTCCGCAGTGGCGCAGGGAAGTGGTTTTGCCGCTTGTGCCCGCCATTTTGTTTGTGGATTCAGGCGTGGCAGTGCTTTGAGAGGCTCAGCTGCCTCGCACCTTGCTTGTTTGCCATTTGCCTTGCTTCCCACCTTCAAAGACTTCTCTGGACAACAGAGAAGGGAGCTTTTGGAGAAGCGGTGCTTAAGAGTTGGGTTTGACTCCAGTGCCTTATTTCCTGGAGTTCCAGAAGCCTGAGCCACCGCTGGGAGTCAGTGCGATCTTTTACACCATTTCCAGAGGTTTGGATACAGCAATGAGGGAGGACAGGTTTGTCTGTGTCTGTGCCGGGCCTTTATTCTTCTGAACTTTCAGTCCAGTTTCTTTTTAGAGCTGGCATTGTGAGGGTGGTGTCCTTGGAAGCTGTCTTTTACTACCTACTCTGTGGAGTGATAGTCTTCTGGGCCTGTTGGACTGCAGTTCCATCGTTGCCTTCTGCTTTTCGGCTTCTCAGCAGCCTTACTACGTGGCAGTTATCGTGTCTGACTCTGCTCTGTCTTCTGACATGGAGCAAGCTGTTAGCTCTCCCAAAGCCCATAGATCCAAGCACTCTGGCTCTAAAAGGGCTAAAAAATCCACCAGTAGTAAGTCAGTTAAGGCTAGGCCTTCATCATCTGGGTCTTCTAAACAGTCTGCAATGGTTGACAAAGACGCTAAGAGGTGTCACAAAGCCTTGGAGAAGCAGTTTGATAAGGCACAACTCAATGCTCAGGTTGCAGAGCATCACCGTGCATCTACCACTGAAGCCATCTCGGCTGATCATTGTTATTGTACCCCTACCACATGTTGGGGCTGCTGCGCTCCAGGGCTGGGCTACATCTGAGGCTGGTACTTCTTCTCAGCTATTGGTTGATATTACACAGGAAGACCACTTGGGGGTCCAGAGTACAATGCCAGTGGGGTTGCATAGGCACCCAATGCCCATTTGCCAGGCCCCAGAAGCTACGTTCCCCACAACTGCAGCAGGGGTGAGGGTCTTTTCCTGACCAGCCATTGGACATTCAAGCTCTGATCTCTGACAATCTGTCCAAAATGCTGGCAGCTGGAATTCAGCAGGGCAGTCAGGTTCCGTTGGTGGCACCCAACCCACGAATGCAGCTTCCGGCACATTCTTCGGGCAGGCTTGCTTCTCCCTCGCAACACGACTCTTCGCACAGTGATGATTCCTCATTTGGGGAGGGTTACTCTGGAGATTTGGAATTCGCTGAAAACGAAGGGTTGCTGCCAGATAGGTCAGCGTTTACGGGCCTTTTCCACCCCTCAGTCTTCAAGCCTTTATTCCATAAGGCTAAGGTGGTGATCAATATTGGAGTTGTTGAAGACCATTCTGATCATCCTCAGGGATCAGCTGCTCCTCATGATGACCTGTTTATGATTCCAAAGCAGGAGCAGGAATTCATTCCTTATCCAAAACTGTTTTCTGAGGTCATTCAAAGGCCGTGGAGTCAGCCTGGTTCGCTTGCCGCTCCTAGCGGCCACGACAAGATACTTTATTGTTCTGCTCCTGAACTTGAGCATCTTTTACACTTGCCCTCTGTAGATGCCCCGGTAGCTAGTGCCACGTCTTCCACTGTCCTTTCCACGATATAGTGGAAGGCCTTAACTCTGAGGATAGGAAGGCTGAACTGTCTTTCAGAAAAAGCACCAAACGGCCGCTTGGGCCATTAGGGCCGCAACAGCCTCATTCTTTAACCGGGCATCTCTGATATGGCTTCACTAATTACAAGAAAAGCTCCCGCAGGATATCGGGCTACATCAAACCATTAATAAACTAGTAGCTGCCACCGAGTACTTGGCCAACGCATCCTTAGATGCGGCAAAGTTTGCATCTCAAGCCTTGGACTCCACAATAATATCTCGCCGGCTCTTTTGGCTGTGCAATTGGAGGGCTGATATGAAGTCGAAGTGGAAAGTCGCTTCGGCCCCATACAAGGGCTCAGCTCTTTTTGGTGAGGCCTTAGAGCTGATCCTCATCGAGAACAAGGACAAAAGGAAGGTATTACCTTCCTCTTACAGGAGGCCCAACCGCCGATACTCTCCTTACTTGCAGAGGCAGCCCTTTCAGCCTGATACCAGACCCAGCGTGTCCTATTTTCAGCGCTCCTACTCGCAAAGGTTTGACCCACCCACTGACAGGCAGGCCTTCCAGGATCGGAGCAGGCTCCAGCCCCCAATGAAGAAGCCATTTCGAGGGGGCGGTACCAAACCATTTCGATGTGGCAAGTGACGCCTTGCCACACCTCCCCATTGGCGGTCGGCTCCAGTATTTCCACTGCCAGTGGGGGTGTTCTCTACAACTGACACTTGGATTCTTCAGACGGTGGGGTCCGGCCTCACCTTAGAATTCCGCTCCAGCCCTCCAAACCACTACCTACAGCGCCCGGTTTCTCACCAACCCATAAAGAAACAATTTATGGACACCGTCTTGTTGGATATCTGGGCCATCAAGCCGGTACCAAGGGACTAGGAAAGAACCAGCTTCTATTCCATCCTGTTTCTGGTGCCCAAGAGTTCAGGGGGCTGGAGGGGGATCTTGAATCTCAAGCAACTCAATCGCTTTATCTTGTACAGGCGATTCAAGATGCAATCCCTAAGATCGATCCTGGGATGCCTCCGGGAGAATGACCTTTTACAATCAGTGGACCTCAAGGAAGCCTACTTAAGTGTCCCGATCCACCCGGCACATTGCAAGTATCTGCGCTCTGCGTACTCCAATTTCCATTTTCAGTACTGAGCCATTCCGTTCGGCCTCTCATCGGCCCCACGAATGTTCTCCAAATTGTTGGTGGTGGCAGCGACTGTCCACATGGTTCCAGTACACATCCTCTGCTACTTAGACGACATTTTAATTCTGTCGTCCTCCCCTTCACAGGCCACAGGGGACAGTAAGATGGTGATTCACACACTTCAGAGTCACGGGTTTATGATCAACCAGAACAAGATTTCCTTAAACCTACAAAAATGAGAAGGGATGTTATTAAGATGTGCAGTGCTAACAAAAATTCTGATGAGATATGAGTTCTCTGACAAATTAAATAGTCTTCTAACAATCTTTGTTATAAAATAAAAGGGATCAGCTTGGGAAAGTCTACTGCATCCAGCTATATAAAGCTATATAAATAAGCTACTTAGTTTAATTTAGACCAGATGACAATATTCAGGAGAAAAATGTTGGTTTACTTCCAAAAGTAGTAGCAAAAGAGACCTAAATACAGGTAGAAAAAGGCAATACTCCAGAATCCCAGAATTTTTCATTGGTTTGCTTATTACAGGTCTTGATTATTGAAATATACATATACGTCTGTTCTTCATTTCATGAATCTCTCTTTCTTGGCACCATTATCCATGTAAAATCATACTAAATTCAAAAATAACTTTTCTACCTACCCAATCACTTCTCATATTTATATTCTACCAGTATTAATCATATGAGACCTGCTTATAAGGCCTTCTGAAAAATGTCTGTTCCTTGTGGTGGTTATAAAATGAATAATCCATTCTCCGTAGGGTCAACGGGAGAATCCAGGTCAGCTTGGATTACTCTAGCCTTGTAGCTCTATTGACTGAGTTGAAATTCTGAGGACACGCCTCCCTGGTAACAGTCCCATTTTTCAACTCAGTCTCAGCTCTTTGGATGCTAATTTAAGATGTGAGAGCTTCTGAGGGAAAATTTTGATTAAAAATCTTGGATTTTTCACACCGATAGAATGGAGCAGTTTCAAGGGTTTTCCAGCAGCTCGCCGCACCTGATTCCTAACGCCTCAAAGCTGATCGGTGGTAGTAACAGGCCAGTAACATTGGCTCCTGGACTATCCGTAGTGGCAGAAAGGGGCCTGGAGTTCCTGACCGCTCCAACAGTCATACTTCGTTCAGCAGGGAGCCACGGCAGCCACATGGTTGCATAAGCATGCCTTCTTTAACATAGCGGCTCAGGGACTGCACAGGCACGCTTCTGGCACCACCCCAGACTTGCATTAGGAGCTGAGTCACTGGTCAATTGTTTGGCCACACTCTGGGTGGGTCCAATTCGCCGCAGCAATGCAAGCTGTTTAAGACTGCCTTGATATCAGTAGCGAGGCCAGCGTTCATTTGCAAGCTCAGGGATTCTCCCAGCTTGCCTGTGGATCCTGCTTAGCCTTGGAGCTTCAGGATCAGGGGCCCGGTTATAATCCGTAGCTGCGGTGGGGCCAGAGCTGCCCAACTTTTTGGTGCAGTCTCTAATGATTAAAAGCGACGCTGTCCCGGCAGCAGAAGATCTCCCATTTTGTTATGGTAGATGATATGGTTGAGGAACTACGTAGTGCTTTAAACTAGACTGCTACAAGGAGCTGTCCTCGTGGTGATCCTGTTCCAGATAGTTCCTAAAGTTTTTGTTGTAATTATATGAATATAAATTAGATTGAATACAGATTTGAATATGTAATTATTTGAGATCAGTCTAATTATTTCTAAATAATCACAGCATTTCTTTATTTACCTAAGTACAACATTGCTCTCAGAAAATCGATATTGTACATGGCATTTTCTATTGCAGCATGGAATACTATAATCAATGTTGTATTTTTTGTGTTAATGCGATGTGTTATATCACTTTTTATCAAGTAATGTTCTATTTTGTTTTTTATGCTTTATACAGGTTCTGCTTTATGTAGTTATGAGTTAAAGCCATCTGAATACACTACACATGTAAACGCTGCTAAGCTTTGCCCCAATCTCCCAGTTCCAGAGAGGTAAACAAACTACTCAATGTCTTACTTTGTGACAAAACTCTATGTATTGGTATGTGTGTATTAGTATGAAATTTAATCACCTGCTAATTTCTACAGGCAATTATGTTAGTTGTAAAGAATTCCCTTCAACTAGTAATGCAAAATTATGCAAAATATCCCATTCTACATTTCATATACTTCAAATCTGATACCATGTTTTCCCCAAAATAAGACAGGGTCTTATTTTCTTTTGAACCCCGAAATAAGGGCTTGGCCTTATTATCGGGGGGTCTTATTATTTCAGGGGTGCAGGAGGTCCTGGGTGGCCTGCGTACTCATAGCCCAGAGTCCGGCAGAGAGAGGCTCCCTTCATGCACTGCCATTATTATTTTTTTATTTTATTTTTTTTTATTTTATTTTTTTTAATTAGATTTATATGCCGCCTTTCTCCGGAGACTCAGGGCGGCTTACAATGCGTTAAGCAATAGCTTTCATACTTTTGTATATTTTATACAAAGTCAGCTTATTGCCCCCACAACTGGATCCTCAATTTACCTACCTTAGATAGGATGGAAGGCTGAGTCAACCTTGAGCTTGGGGAGATTCGAACATGCAATAATTGCAGACGGCTGAATGTTAATAACAGGCTTTTAGTCTGTTGAGCTATCCAGGCTCTCTATTTGTTTGTTTGTTTGTTTAGACTTATATGCCGCCCTTTCTCCGAGAGGACTCAGGGCGGCTCACAACAATAAAACAGAAAAATAAAACAAAAACTCTGGGTTAAAAGTTACACATAAAATCCCTAAAATCAGTTAAAATCCATTTTAAAACCCCCATCAGTCCAGGCCGGCCTGGCGAAATAGCCACGTTTTTAGTTCACAGTGGAAAGAGCGAAGGTCCATCCGGAACTCCAGGGGGAGCTGATCTCAGAGGGTAGGTGCACCCACAGAGAAGGCCCGCTCCCTAGGGGTCGCCAGCAGACACTGCCTGGCCGACAATGACATTAAGCCCCTCCCCGCCAGCGGGATGTGTGTAAAGAATGCGAGCAGCCCGAAGGCACCATGCCATGCAAGTGCCTGTCCCCACCCCCTGCTCGTGCACCTCCCAGGCCTCACCACGTTGATGTGGCCGAAGCCGGTGAGCACCAGATCCTTGAGCTCGTAGCCAATGCCACTGGCACCCACCAGCAACACCCGCACAGAAGCCACAGCCTGGGCCAGCTCTCCCTGCAGGGTCCAGCTCCAGCCGTCACCATAGAGTGAGAAGCACATTCCCAGAGCGGCTGCTGCCCTGGCTATGGTTTGAGCGGCAGAGGCAGATTTTGGGGGAGAGAAAGAAAGACTTTTGCTGCTTCTTCTGCTTTCCTTGCATCCAGCCAAAAGCAGAAGCAGCAGAAATCTATCCCCCCAAAACTCTGCTTCTGCAGCTTCCAAACCCCAGCCAGGGCAGCGGCCGCTCTGGGAGTGTGCTTCTCACTCTATGGTGATGGTCGCCGGAGGCCTCCCCTTCCCCCCTGCTCTCTGCTCCAATCACCCTGCAGTCCCCCCACCCGAGCGCTGACTACCGGAGCCCTCACTGGCAATCCTGTGAAGCCCTTCTGTCTCGGGAGTCACCAGACTGGATGGCGATCATGCCAGACTCTTCCTGGGGAAGGAAGCCTCGCGGGACACTTGCCCACCCTCCCTCCCTCCTGCAAGTCCAGTTTATTCTTTCCAGGCACCCAGCAGCCCCGACAGACACAGCTCAGCCGGCCCAGCCATGGCCAACGCTCCTCGCCCGCAGCTGAGCTTGGCCGCAGGGGGGTGCCAGGCCTCTACAGGCAGCAACGGTGGCAGAAGCAACACCTGCAGCGCTTCAGCCATTCCCGCCGAGACCCGCGCCCAGCGGCAGGATGCGCAAGGCCTGCTGTTGTAGTCCTCTGCGACTGTCTGCTGCACATGGAGGCCTCTCTGCCACCAGTGGCTGCCCTGCCAAAGAAGCCCTGGGGTGGTGATGCTTGCGCTGTGGCTGCTGTGGCGGGCACTCGGTAGTGCGGGCTATGCGGAAGCAGCGTGCGGGGGCAAGAGTGGGCGGTCCGCCACCATGGCGTAGGAGCAGGTGCTCGAGGTGCCGCAGGGGGCGAAAGGGGCGGGGGTGCAGGAATTTGCAGGGATGTGTCTGACTTGGGAAGGTTGGGAGATGAGGGACCTGTGTGTGCGTGTATGTGTGTGTGAGAGAGGAGGGCTTATTTTCGAGGGAGGGCGTATATTTAGGCCCACACTAAAAATCAGGCTTGGCCTTATTTTCAGGACATGTCCTATTTTTGGGGAAACACGGTATTGAAAAAACATTGGAAAAAAATGTTGGTTTCCCTGATATCATTTAGCCAGGAACTCAAAGGAGTTTGGAGATACTAGGTTAAATGCTCTGGCATATCTTGGGCTGTGTTGGGTGCATGTGCATGAATTTTCCCCACCACCACCTTTTTTTTTTTTGTCAGTTGTGATTTTGTGGTTGTATTTCATTCAGTGGCACTCGATTGCTTAGTTGGAAAGTCATCCTCCTCAATATGTCAGTGAACACTCAATTATCCAGACAAATTAAAAGGTTGAATCATGGCAACTGGACCAAAATTTGTTAAACTCTGAGGTGTTTCGCTTCCTATCCAGGAAGCTTCATTGGTCAAAATAAAAAATTAAAAAAATAGTTAGGCAGAGAGTCAGAGACCTTTGCCATTTATTAGGATAGAGTATGTGCCGATGCAAGTAGTGTGGCTTTTATAATTGACAGATGGACATTTTGTCAATGCATAGATTTTCTAAGTGCCATCTAAGGTTTTTTGGTATGATACCAAGTGTGCTGATAACCACTGGGGCCAGGATGGCTGATTTATGCCATAATCTTTCAACTTTGATTTTCAGATCTTGATACTTTGTGATCTTATCCAATTTTTTGTCTTCTATTTTGCCACATCTATTATCCATATTTTTTTCTTTTCAGTCACAGTTAAATTTGGTGCCTTATGAGCCAAGACTTTTATCAGTTTATTTTTGGAAATTCCACAATATTTTAACCTCCTTTCTGTTTAATCTTTCTGATTTAATTCCTGGCAGGAAATATCAAAGAGGGACGCGTTGGCTCATTGGCTAAGACACTGAGCTTGTCGATCGAAAGGTTGGCAGTTCAGCGGTTCGAGTCCCTAGGGCCGCGTAACGGGGTGAGCTCCTGTTACTTGTCCCAGCTTCTGCCAACCTAGCAGTTTGAAAGCATGTAAAAAATGCAAGTAGAAAAATAGGGATCATCTTTGGTGGGAAGGTAACAACATTCCGTGTGCCTTTGGCATTTAGTTATGCCGGCCATGACCATGGAGATGTCTTCAGACAGCGCTGGCTCTTCAGCTTTGAAATAGAGATGAGCACTGCCCCCTAGAGTCGGAAACAACTAGCACATATGTATGAGGGGAACCTTTACCTTTAAGAAATATCATCTTAAATTCAGAGTTATCTTCCTAACCTGCAGGGGGAATTTTTATTTTCCATGATATTCCATATATTGTAACTCTTAAGACAGAATTTCCATTTTAAAGTTGGAATTATTTGAGAGGAAAAGAGTTTCCCTTTTTAAAGGGAATATGTATATGGATATTGTCTTAGTAAGGAGCTCTACTTGGCAAAGCCAATATACCTTTTTGACTGAATTTTCTTGAAATGTGAAGGGAGAACAGAAACATTTCTGTCAGTTGTCAATTTTTAATTTAATTAGACTTTAAAAAATGATATTGATGTTTTTTCTTTCCATGCAGGACTGTATAGCAATTCTGCCTTTTTTTTGAAGCTTATATTTAATACTGATAATGGTTTCTCTCTGTTTGAAGAGCTGTCTCCTCATTACACATTTTAGTATTGTTCTTTCCTTTCATCAGTTATAATCATTATTAAAGAATATAATCAGTAATCATTAATAAAATAACAGGGTGATTTTGAATACATTTATTATTCTATCTATCTGGACCCTTACCAGTTGGGCTTCAGACAGGGGTACAGCATGGAAACGGCATTGGTCACATTGGGGGATGATCTCTGGAGGGCTCAGGACAGGGGTTGCTCCTCTGTTCTGGTCCTATTAGATCTCTCAGCGGCTTTTGATACCATCGACCATAGTATCATGCTTCAGCGGTTGAGGGGGTTAGGAATAGGAGGCACCGTGCTGCGGTGGTTCTCCTTCCTCTCCAACCGCTCGCAGTTTGTGTTGGCAGGGGGGCAGAGGTCGACCTCGAGGCACCTCGCTTGGGGGGGTGCCGCAAGGGTCGGTCCTCTCGCCCCTTCTGTTCAACATTTATGTGAAGCCGCTGGGCGAGATCATCCGTGGTTTTGGGGTGAGGGTACATCAGTACGCTGATGACACTCAGCTGTACATCTCCACCCCAGGCCACCCCAATGATGCCCTTGACATGATGTCCCGCTGCCTGGAGGCCGTATGGGTCTGGATGGGGAGAAATAGGCTCAGACTCAACCCTTCCAAGACCGAGTGGCTGTGGCTACTCGCGTCCCGGTATAGTCAGCTGACACTATCGCTGTCTATATGGGGTGAATCTCTACCCCCCACAGAGAGGGCTCGCAATCTGGGCATCCTCCTGGATGCATGGCTGTCTTTAGAAGAGCATATGACGGCCGTGGCCAGGGGGGCTTTTTATCAGGTTTGCCTGATTCGCCAGTTGCATCCCTTTCTGGACCGGGACGCCTTGCGCACAGTCACTCATGCCCTTGTTACCTCCCGGCTGGACTACTGTAATACTCTCTACATGGGGCTCCCCTTGAAGAGCACTTGGAAGCGCCAACTGATCCAGAATGCAGCTGCGTGGGTAATTATGGGTGCAACCCGTTGCGCCCATGTAACACCTTTCCTGCACGAGCTGTACTGGCTCCCAGTGGTCTTCCGGGTGCGATTCAAGGTGTTGGTTACCACCTTTAAAGCGCTCCATGGCTCAGGACCTGGGTACCTACGAGACCGCCTTCTGCCACCGATAGCCTCCCACCGTCCAG